TCTACCATCGGTCAATCGTTCAGGAGGTTTCAGAAAGTCTCATATAAGCAGCAACTAGTTCAATTCAGCAAATCTATCGCTGGTGCGAGCTAATCACATTCCATAATAGCGTCTATGAGAGCACTAGAAAGATTGGTTGCATTGCTTATTACCTACACTCGCCTGCCGTAAGCAGAGACTGCGAATTGTACCTCTTGAGCACCACAATCATGCAGGTTGTCACAGTAACGCGTGGCGGCAACTGAGCAGCGCTACCGTTCCTAAAGGAACGCGATAGAAACGGCTTTCCGCAATCATGCCGGCTGTCACAGTAACGCGTGGCGGCAACTGAGCAGCGCTCCCGTTCCTAAAGGAACGCGATAGAAACGGCTTTCGGGAGTTTATAGACATAAACCCAGTTCTTAATCATCAACCAATTGTCAGATCCTTTTCTTTTATACAAAATCAATGGATCACAGTCAAAAACAGTCATCCAAACAGCTGGCACCACTATGCCAGAGATCTTTCAAAATGGAAACCACCGTTCATGACGTGATTCTCGATGCAATGAAATCACCATTTGATAAGGACTGATTACGATAGCATGGAGTATATAAGCAGGCTTAGCGGTAAGGTGGACAGTTTCTGGCTAGATCTTCAACGGGCTGGTCAGTTAGCGAAGGCTCTCGTCACAAAGCGGCGTCGCTCTGGATCATACAAGATTAAGACATCAAAACCTCTTCAGGTCATTCTTCGTAAGTTATTCTGTGCCGTTCTACCATCGGTCAATCGTTCAGGAGGTTTCAGAAGGTCTCACATAAGCAGCAACTAGTTCAATTCAGCAGATCTATCGCTGGTGCGAGCTCATCCCTAATAGCGCCTATGAGAGCACTAGAAGGATTGGTCGCATTGCTTGTTACCTACACTCGCCTGCCGTAACCAGAGACTGCGAATTGTACCTCTTGAGCACCACAATCATGTCGGTTGTGACAGTAGCGCGTGGCGGCAACTGAGCAGCGCTACCGTTCCTAAAGGAACGCGATAGAAACGGCTTTCCGCAATCATGCCGGTTGTGACAGTAACGCGCGGCGGCAACCGAGCATCGCTACCGTTCCTAAACGAGTGCAATAGAAACGGCTTTCGGGAGTGGATAGATACAAACCCAGTTCTTAATCATAAACCAATTGTCAAATTGCTTTTAAACAGGATCAATGAATCACAGTCAAAAACAGTCATCCAAACAGCTGTCGCCACTACGCCAGAAGTCTTTCAAAAATTTAAGCGGAAACCACCGTTCATGGCGTGACTCTCGATGCAATGAAATCACCATTTGATAAGGACTGATTACGATAG